TCCCTTTTTCTGGACACTTTATATATGGCAGTCTCCTTTTGCTGCGAGAATCGAGAAGGACATCCTCCTCGGCCACAACCGCTTTCCTCGCCCCTCCAAAAAGCTTGCTGGACTTTGGTTCACAATCTTCTGCCTGAACACTCAGTATTGCAATGGATTTCACCAGCAAGCTGGCATTGAGATCCTTGAGGCGCATTTGCTGAGTCTGGCCGGAGTGAACAAGTCAACAACTTACCCATGGAATCTTCCACTAGGAGACTAGCAATAAAGAACTTTCTCGACCTTTCCAATTGTTGGTTGTGCTGCAGCACGCAGCATTCAAAGAACGTAGCCTAATTTACCTTAAGAAACCACAGCTTCCGCAATGCCCAACCAAGGAGCAGTACATGCAATGCATCGGAATTACAGCATGAGCTCCAAAAAAATTTCAAGCGCCTCCACGATGATCATTCCGGGATATGCCTTGATCGTGTTCCAAGAAGTAACGTCGCTCAAAGCCTCCTCGAGTCCACTAGCTTGCCCGCCTATTGGCCACGATTCACGGGCATCGTACGTCGCGAATAGCCTGGCCGTGGTTTAAGTAGGCCAGCCTCTTCGGCTTTTTGTCCAGCGTAGCAGCCTCTTCCCCACTTGTGACCAGGAGTTTGATCCTTGCGAACTTTGACAAAATCCTCCAAAGCTTCTGAATTTTAACACAGGAAATCTAAAGTGAACACCTGGTCGTGTTTGTCGCATAAATCGTCCTTTTGGAATGAGTTGTCAAGAAAGCTCAGATACTTCCCAAGTTGTTGCTTAGACACTTCATGCTTCTGCTGAAAGTTGTCAAGCGCACCCGGTCACGCTTCATGGCTTCTTTCACATTTCCAAGAAAGAGGCGCCTCTCCCTTTTCGAGAGACTCCTGCTTCTTGAAATCTCTCTTCATCGTTTCTGGGAGCTGAGAACACGCAACCAAATCAATACTTCCGACCTAGAAAACTATATCTAAGTGTCACCTGAAGCAGGCTTCGAAGACGTCCTTCCGCAGCATAGAAAGAAGAAAGAAAAAATAAAACGATGGTTTAAACTCAAGAAAGAAGGAGCCTTCGACCAACCTTAGCAGAAGCCTCCATGCTCAAAGCATTCTCCTGCGAGTTGATGAGCGCCTCAATCTCATTGAGAAGCTTCAACTTCTCAGTCCCACAGCTCCAGCCCCACCATGATCCTTCTTCGAGCCTAGCACCCTGGACCAAGGTGCCTTGTTCGACCAAGGATTCGATAGGAAGCCCTTCCCATTCACCGACATTGTCCGAAGAGCATTGCTGAGAAAGTTTGGATCGTGCCGCGGCGGCGGGGGCGAGTGATTGAGCTGCCGGAGGGAGAGGAACGGTGAGAAAGTAAAGGAGGAGGAGGAGTGGCGACATTGATGTCGCTGGAGATCTTCTTGCGCTTGGCGGTGCCGGCGCCAGGCCTCCACTCCATAGCCACGCGCGAGAAGGGCCACTGGAAACCCTCTACCGTGAAATTCCGCTTCTTGACAGCTTCCATGGCCGGATCATGCTCGCGCTACCCCGAGAGCATACATAGCAGTTAGTCGTTAGGGCTTTGCTGATCCCCTGACGGTTTCCGGATGTAGAAGCCTTCTTCCAGATGCGCGATCTGGGCAAATGCTGCTATGCCTCTGGTCCAAAGGATTTCTCACTCATTTCCAGCATTTGATCATACTCGACAAGATGCACATAGACGGTGATAAGGTCGTTCCACGCAACTGGATCCAGGGATCAACAGTGATCAAAGAGGCATGACCATGATCCAGATGCCAGTTCTAGGCATATGCTTGAATCGATTGGGGCGATCGATCGCGGAAAAACACGGCGCACATCGCCCAGACTGTTTTTCCGGTGTCCATTATCATCCTCTGATCGAGACCTCGCGACGAGCGGGGCCATCCCTATTTTCTCGCAACGCTCGGTGCGCTCCAACAACACCACCAGGAAGATATCTCTTGAGAAAAGCTTCTGCCATCTTATTGTCTTATCTCATCTCATCTTATTGTCTCCACAAAGTATGCTCCCGATATCTCGTAGCACCTGAAACAAGGTATTGAGAAAACAACAAGAAGAAAACAAAAAACTTACAGGACTGTAAGCTGGTTGACTGTCGCCAGTCGTTAGATGAGAGGTAACAGTTGCTTTGTATCAGAGAGAGCACTGATGTAGACGAGTAGAGCGCGTGTGTGTAACCTTCCGACTTGCAAGTGAAATTTAGTCTGCATACACACCGTCAGTGGCTTTCAAGAGCAAAGAAACAACTCACAACCTTGTAAGTTGTCACTATCCTATGAGGACTTGGAGGAGAAAAAGTATTAATCCTGCCAAACCTGCTGTTATGAGATAAACAAGATGGTGTTGAAGCGTAGAGATCGTTGCAAACGCAAATTATCTGTGCCACAAAAGCTGGTCAGGTTCTCTATACGACGCAAGCTTACGGGTCTAGACAGTCGAGAGATGGCAGTCTTCTTTCTTTGAGGTTTGGACATTTTTATCGTCGTTATCATTTCGAGACACAGCCTTCGCCTCCGCAGTAATCTGTAGAAAGGAAAAAACATTCGATCAAGGTCTAGTAATTTGAATACGTACCAGATCAACTAAAAAATCGATTTCCCTCCATGCCGCTGAGCGCTCCATCTATTTCATACAAAATCTGTCAATTCAGTAAATCTTCCACAGAGCAGTAATTTTACCAGACAATTCGGCTTAGAATCCCCTGTGACTGTCTCGATTTGAAGAGCATCCAAAGTTTTGGTCCGAAAAGAAGACGCTGTGCGATCATCACAGACTAGGAACTTGTGCAAGTGTCGTATTTCCAAGGCCCGGCGGGCCACATAAAGGAAGGACCTGCTTTAAAGAAGCCAAATAAGTACCTTTTGATCTCTTGCCGGTTACCTGAAGAACACTTGTTATCCTTGACGCTGTTCCGTTTGCTCTTCGCCTCATATCTTGTTATCAGCGCTTGTCTTTGAGAACCTCTAAGTGTAGAGTGCCTTTTAACACCGTCTATGCAACTGGCTTAATGAAAACGTTACACACAATTTACCTCTCGATTGATCTGTTCATCGCTTAAAAGCTCGGGGAACGATTTCAGCGAGTATTGATCAACCCACAGCTGGTCAATCCTCTCCGTCGAGACAGCGATGGGATCTCTTTCCTTCTCAGCGAGCTCGCAAGCCTTCGAGAAAATCCATGAGAACAAACTGATCAACGGTTTTCAAAGTCGAGTTAAATTTATCAAGCGATCATACCTTTTTTTTATCAGAGAAGTTTCTATCAACTTCTTGCTCCAACCGCGGTTCCGTCAAAAGTTTCTTCACGACAATTTTCTTCCCCGGCAATCTTCGAGAACAATGATAATTTCCTCTACGACGACAATTGGAGTCTTTTCCGCTACAGCATCGTCGACTCCACGCACGCATCGGGAACCACAAGTTTTCTCTTCACTAGGGGAAAAGGAAAAAATCCTGGGAAAATTTAGGCCAAACCTGGCAGATCGCGCTGCGCACCCTCGCCGCCGCCCGCATTCACATCCTCAAACCTTTCCCTGCATCCATCGGAGCACAGGATCTGATCAAAGAACGCTTCAATTAAATTTAACAGAAAAAAGTGATGTCATCCTAAACATTTTTCCCACTGGCAAGAGTTTCCTTCCGGCAATGTTTGTCAGCATCTTAGATGGAAGGAAAAAGAGTAAATTCTATAGATCTTATAAGGAATCACAAATAACACCATTATTCCATTCTCATGAATAATATACTTTTTCAAGTTTATTTCAAAAGAAAACCAAGATTTGCATACATAAATATGTATTATATTAAAGTTTTTACCAGCATTCAAAATGAATATTTGCACAAGACCCTACAGGAAATTAACAGGAAATTTGCAGTTTATTTGAAGTGTTTCTCTGGAAGTTGTTGTCTCTCGTCGACAGAAAAATCTTACGGAGCAAGTGGCTTTGCGTGCAACACTTCAAAGTTAAAACGAATAACCCAAGGTTCCCTAGAGATGGAACAAAACATTTGAAAGTGAAACTTATTCTCACCATCGTACTGGTAGATTCAAAAGCATTAAAACCGAATATCATTGGGGAGGAGGATACGTGATATGTACTGGTACGTAGGAAAGCGGGCACGTAGCTGGTGGATCTCCCGTATGCCGTATGTACGCCGACAGAAGCGAAACCTCTTTAAAGAGTGAAACGGAGATGGAAAACGGAAGAACACCAAACAAGAACTCTCCAGTTGACTCTGCGATGTTGATGCAAACCGATCCAAGCCAGAAGAGATCGATAGCTAGAGATTTGTAAACAAAAACTTAACAAAGATTTGGGACAACATGGCTTGCTGTGAATCAAAGTGACAAGGAAAACAAAACTAATGGGAATCCCTTGCGATTCAAGCATGATCGTGATAGAAAATTTCATACTACAGTAATGAACTTTGATAAAGTTTGGATGTTTTGGATGTGTCGGGCCAACAATACCAACAGACAATGCCTCAAATCGAAGTTGTGGAGGAAAAATACCTTAGCATTTTTAGAAGGAGCCATGATCTTCAAGTTATAGATATTTCTCTTGCCTTGTTGTCTCATTACAGAGCATCATTGTACCACTCCTGCAAAAGAATAAGAAATTCTTTGTATCATCATCATCCCTGGGGTGGTTTCTCAGAGGACGATCGCAAATCTCCCACGGCAAAGCTGCCAAATTCTCTTTTTCTTTGCGCTCTTCCCACGCCAACCTTTGCGCCATGCAAGGAATATTCGCATCTAACGGTGTTGGCGCCAGTACTGCCAAGCGGGATTGCAAATCTAGCCGTCAGTGGCTCCCATTGGACGAGGATCCCAAATGCCCACACAAGGCATTTGCAGCCAATCCAAAGCTCCTGGCAAATTCCAAGTGAAGGTTATCTAATCTTTTATCTAGTGTTTTTTACTTTCAGTCTCTGTGTCTCCGGTAAGAAAAAAGGAGTGTACAGCCATTGGATAGCGATGGCTGCCGCGCGCGCACTGTCGCACTGCACAGCACTGTACACGCAAATTAGCTTAGCTCCAAATGCCAAAGCCTGGGAATTGTTTTCTCTCTTCTCGAGAGAGATTAGCGTGTGTCCTGTGGCATTTACTCGAGTGGCAGCAACCAAGAACCAAGAACAGCTAGGGGGCGAAATGGGAGAGCAACACAGGCCGCTTTCATCGCTCTCCAAGACGGCGACGATTTGGACGCAATGAATTCCAGTCGCTGGAGCAGCGCTGATGCATTCATTCGTTCCATCCATCCATCGCTCGAAAGGATCGAAACACAGAGTGTTCCCTTCTTCTTCTTCCTCTCTTCCGTGAAGATCATCGCGTAAGTTCCCCTGTTTGTTTGCTCTAGAACAACGATTCTTCCTTGCGGAGCCACGAATTCCACGAATTCCACGATTTCTCTACCACCCAAGAGAGGATTCGATCGGCCAGATGACCAGGCCATCGCCCAAATCGCCGCGCTCCTCCTCTTGCTCCTATCCCGACTGCTTCCTCTGCGCTATCAAGTTCTCCCCGCCGGATATCTACGCGCGCCAGGCCTCCTTCTTCTCCGAGCTCTTCAAAGAGCTCCCATCCTCCTCGCCCTCCTCCTCCTCGGCCGACGCCATCGCCGCGAGCTCCAAGCAGCAGCTCTCCATCATCCGCGGCCTCTGGAGCACCGCCATGGCGCATCCCGACGATCCCCTGTTCGTGCAGCTGGGCGTCCTCGAATCGATGATCCATCTCATCTACAAAGGCCTCCGCGATCCAGTGTGGCTCTCCCAGGGCGAGAATGTGTTTGTCCCATACTACGCCGCCCACATCCTCGGCTCCTACACCATGAACGTTGAGCGGTACGCCGCCTATGCCGTGCGGTACCGCGCGGTACCAGCGCTGGCCGAGCTCGCCACGGGAGCGCTGACGTGGGTCGAGCAGCGCGTCGCCGTGCGGTGCCTCAGCCACCTCGCCAGCTATGACTCCACGTTCCCGGCGGTGTCCGCGGGCGGCGTACTGCGGCTGGCCATGGCCGTGGCACGTGGCGGCACTGGATTGGTGTACGAGCAGTTTGTGGGGAAGACCGTTGATCGGCAATTAGGGTATCACAAGGAACTCTTGGCGAGGGGGAGCTCAGGCGAGGGTGTGGAGCGCAAGGCGGAGGAATGGGCGAGCCAGCTCCAATGCTGGTCACTCCAGGTAGTGAATTGCTTCGCGCTGCGCGAGGAATTCTTGCTGGCGATCTGCCGGCCGGAGTTCTTGGTGGATCTTCCGGGGATGTGGGGCGGCCTCGTGAATGGGAGCTCGCCGGCGGGGCTTGGATTGCTGAGGACGATCTGCTACCACAAGCTTGGCAGAATCGCGATCGCGAGCTGCGGCTCCATTGTGGAGGCGCTGTGCAATGTGGCTAGATCTTCGGATGATTGGCAGTTTATGGCGGTGGATTGTTTGCTGTGGCTGCTTCAGGATCCAAACTCCAGATCAAAGGTATTTTTTTGTTTTTCTTTGCTTGCCTTTTAAAATTTTCTTCTATCTTGGCATTGATTGTATATTGTTTGCTTCTGTGGCTTGCCTTGGATTCATAGCTTTCTTTATGCTTTCATGCATATAGTATGGATTGAATTCGTTCGCTTATGTCGTCATTCGATTGAATTCTTCGCTTCTTTCTTCAAAAGTTGATCTTTTTGCTTTACATAGCATTGAAAGTTTATTTTTTTCTTTGTTCCAAGGAGATATACTTCCATGCATAGTATGGATTGAATTCGTTTACTTCTTTCTTTTTATCAAAAGCTGATAAAGGACTAGATTTTGCATTCTCTGGCTTTTTCTTTGTGGATGGACTCTGTTTTCTACTTTGGAAGAGCTCAGCATTTATTTGCAATGTTTTTTCCAGGTTTATAGCAAGGCAGTGGTGGCTTTGGCCGACTTGGTCGAGCTCTCAAGTCTCGGCGAGCAGAAAAAACCCGGAGAATCAATCATGGACGTGCTCCTCTCGCATCAAAAACAGGACGAGCTCCTGGAGGCGGACGAGAACGTCCTCGCCGCCATTGAAGACGTCGCGAGGCTGAAGAAGCGAATCAAGCTCGAGAGGCACCTGGCACGGGAGGACATCAAAATCACTCAAGCAGCAGCGCTGGTCCTCCGGCTGGAGGGAAACGCTCGCTTCTCGGCTGGCGACGTCCGTGGCGCGACTGCAAAGTATAGCGAAGCTCTCGAAGTCTGCCCGATCAAGGCGAAGAAGGACAGGGTGGTGATTCTAAACAATCGAGCGCAGTGCTATCTTCTCATGGGCGATGCCGAGCGAGCAGTGAGCGACACCACTCGAGCGCTCAGCTTGTGTAGAGGCAAGAGGAGGAGGCACGGAATGACGAGCAGCCTGTGGAGGCGAGCGCAGGCGTACGATATGATGGGGCTGGCGAAAGAGAGCTTGCTCGACGCTCTGGTTTTCGGCTGCTCGAGCTCCTCGATCTCGTCGTGCTCGGCGTCCTCGGATGGCTGGGACGAGAGTGGAAGCCGGAGTAGCAGTGGTGGGAATCAAAGTGGTGTCAACTTCTACGTCGCAAAGCTCGTGAGGAAGCAAATGCAAAGAACTTGGCTGTTTCGCGAGGCCGCCAGGAAGAGCGAGATGGAGTTCCAGCCGCTGGAGGAAGAGGATGAAGAAGAAGAAGAAGAAGAAAGATCGAACGAGAGAGAGGAGGATGAAGAACAAAGCAGCGGCGATGAGAGTGGCGATGAATCGGAGTGGGAGACTGCGAGTGAGAGTGAGATGTACAAGATCTCGCAGCGAAACCAGCAACAGCGCAGGCAATGGAAGCGCTAAGTCGATCGATCGAGAGAGCAACCATAACCAAAGTAAAATGTGATATCATACTTTCTATGTAAAGATTTTTCTAGGGCTTTGTAGCTACTATAGCGAGCGGCAATGGAGCGCCCAGAGATCCATGTAAGTCGATGGAGCTTCGATTTCATCGGCAGACGCTCTTTTCTAGTGATCCAGGGCGTGATCTCGCAGGAATGGAGCTCCGCCATGCGTATTTCTTTGGGAGCTTCCAGCAATGCGGCCGCGATGCTACAGGTATTGCGCAAGATTCTTGTGCTAGAGCTGCTTTTCTTGCGTTTTCCAGCTCTCCAGCACAGATTTTCGCGATGGAGCGCCATGGCCGTGGGCAATGGGTCCCTAATATCGGATTTCCACACAGAGGCTTCCAAGACTGGGCATGGATCGGTGGAAGTAGCTCACAGGAGGATCTTGTTTGCGGCCGGGGGCACTGGCGGCCATGTCTATCCTGCGATTAGCATCGCGCAGGCAATCCAGGAGCTCCAGCCCAGCGTGGAGATCGAATTCGTGGGGACCAAGGACAGGATGGAATGGCGGGCAGTGCCACGAGCAGGATATATCATCAGGGACATTCCAGCGACTGGATTGAAGAGGCCAGTTCTATCTCCAGAGAACTTTTGGCTGCCTTTCAAGCTCTTGGTGTCTATCATCGCTTGCTGGCGGATCCTTTCCAAGTTTAAGCCGGACGTGGTGGTAGGAACTGGCGGCTATGTGTCCGGGCCTCTGTGCTTGGCGGCGGCGCTGCGAAGAATTCCACTCGTTCTCCAGGAACAAAACTCTCAGCCGGGGCTCACGAACAAGATCTTGGGACGATTTGCGAGGGTGGTGTTTGTGGCTTTCGCTGGAGCCGCGGCTCACTTCTCTCGGGACCGGTGCTTGGTCAGTGGCAATCCCACGAGACTGGGATTCAACCGGTACGTTTCTTCGCTGGTGGCGAGGAGATTGTTCTTCCCGGAGGATGAGAGCTGTGCGACGAAGAAAGAAGTGGTGCTTGTGCTGGGTGGATCTCTCGGTGCTAAGTCCGTCAACATGGCCTTGTCCAGTTTCGTTTTGGAGAGCCTTGGAAGGAATTGTCGACGTTACATCATCTGGCAAACTGGATCGCAGTACTACAAGCAGGTTTTGGAAAGTGTCGGCTCGGGGCATTCTCGACTGGCAATCCACGGGTAAGTTTGTAGAAAGTTCTTGCCTCTCCATCTCTAATGTTTTTCTTGGTTTCAGGTTTATAGAATCCATGGAAACAGCGTATGCAGCAGCAGATCTCGTGGTGGCTCGCGCTGGCGCGATAACTTGCAGCGAGATCTTGGTTGCTGGCAAACCATCGATTCTTGTAAGTAGTCTTTCAAAATCTTTTCTGACAGTAAAAGTGCTGTTTTGCTTTCTCGCAGATTCCATCTCCAAACGTGACCGACGACCACCAAACGAAAAACGCGAGGAGCTTGGAGGAAGCGGGCGTGGCGAGAGTTTTAGCGGACAGTTCCTTGCAATCCTCGCCACGAATTCTGGCCGATGCGATCGACGAGCTTCTGGGTAAACTTCGATCAAAATCGTTTGCCAGTTCCTATTTGGATTTTCCTCCAGGTGATCGGCAACGCCTAGACAAGATGGCAATGAAAGCACTCGATCTAGCAATTCCAGACGCCGCTGCGCGAATCGCCCAGAGAATCCTCGACATCGTCAACACGAATTCGTAGTTCTTGGCGCGATTATTTAAAAATTTTGAAATTTGAAAGTCCACGTCGCGTGGTCGATTCCCATCCCTTGTACAAAAGACGTAGACAAAAGATCTCTACGCTGTGCGTTTCTCACTTTGACACGCTACGTCTGGGCTACGTACAGCTCTACCATTCCTCGCGAGCTCGATCACGTTTCCCTCGAGCTCGATCGCGATTCCAATGGCCGATCTCCAGCGAGTGGCGATTCTCCGCAGCACTGTTGTAGCAATCCAGCTCCCCAGGTCTGGGAGGCTAGTTTCTTCACAAAAATCAGGCCTAGGGCATCACAGGAGCTCCTTGTTCTTGGATCGAAGAACCAGCCAATCGATCAGGGCCAGTGTGGGCGATCGCGATCGGAATGGAGAGGGTCGAGAGGAGATTCCAGACACCTGCGATGGATTTCTCAAGCGGGTATCATCGCGAGGATACGATGAGAGAAGGAAGCTAGAGCAAAATCTCGAGTCCGGGAGCTACGATGGTATAGTCCTTCTCTTTTGGTGGGATTCGTCTTTGTGGATCTAGGAGAATCTAGTCTCTGATATTTTTGTCTCTCTTATAGTCTTGGATTCCAATCCATGGCGGGACGATTCCAAGGCCGTGTATGTTCTTGCGGAGGAGGAGAATCAGCTCATCACCATGAGAACTCGGCGTGAACGAAGGTGGGATTTCTTGCTGCCAAAGGAATTTAGTTCTCTATCGATCGATTGAGTGATTGGCAGTGAAGTGGAGGAGGAATTGAGCTTGCTCTTCCCGAAGCGAGGCAATAGATCACGCGGGAGACGTGGAATCTCGTTTCGGATGCAAGTGGAAGACATTCGCCCGGGCGTCCTGGTAAGAGATCTCTTTCATTCATTTTCATCGAAAATGTCCATGGATTGCGATCGATTCTAGCGATGATCCATCCAGGTTTTCGAGGACGAGGACGAAGCCGCGCGCTACTGCAGCCTCCTGGACGGGAGCTGCCGAGGAATCGCGGAGATCGAAGCATCAGATGTGAGGCGATCGATCGACGAAATTGCTAGGCGCTAATGCGATCGCGAATTCTCTTGCAGGTTTTCGCGATGTGCCAGAAGAACAAGGCGCTGGCGGTGCTCTTCCGGCGAGGCGCGATTCCACCGCGGCCCGACCGCCTCCAAAGAACCCTAAACGCGCGAAACCACTCATTGGAAGATAATTAGCCTAATATAAGTATTCCAATCCTGAGCCGTCCGATTGAGGCCCGGATATTCCTTCTTTCATCCGGGTTCGATTCCGAAAGCTTGCAAGGGTTAACTTAGGCTTGAGAGCGCCCCGGCATCGCGTGTTCTTCCCTCGCCATGGATTCCGTAGATACTTTCATCGGCATCACAGGCGCTCCGCGCGCCGTGGCAATCCGGATGCTCCAGGTAGGGCTCTCTTGCGAGGAAACGATATTATCGTCTTGCCCCGGGATTTCTTAGCTGATGGATCCTCGCAGGAGAATCGTGGCGAGCTTAATGCTGCTGTGAACGCGTTCTTCGGCGAACCGGACACCCCTGCGTACGTAGAATCTCGAGATTGTGGCTTCGATCTCTCCTTACCTTTTTTGTTTGCTCTTGTTCTTCCTCGCAGGCCTCCTTCACAGCCAGAGGAACCCGAAAGAGTGGATTACATGGACGAGGACGAGCCGGTTATTCCAGCGGCTCAGCCGAGAGGTTTAGGACTTCCGCCCTGGGAAGTTCCTCTTCCCAGACCAACGTTTGATCCTCTGGGAAGTCTTTTTGGTGGGAGAGGGATTGTCCCCGACATCGTTCCTCCATTCGTCTCTCATCCGAGAGACGTGAGGAACGTCCCGATTGATTGGCAGGATCCCGCTCCACCGCCGCCACCTCCGAATCTCTCCATTGAGGAGGTTACTGGACTTGAGAATGTGCCCCGTGGTCCTGGAGGTGGGATCGTTAGTATGGAGGATGATGTGCCACCTTTTCCTGGTTTTTATCCTCGGAGGAGTCCAGAGCGCGGTGCCGCGGAAGATCCCGAACTGGAAGAGCAAATGGTCAGAGCGGCCATTGAAGCGTCAAAGATGGATCCCGAGACAGGAGCTGTAAGTGTTCTTCTTTTCGTTTTTCAAGGTCTTTTCTAACTATTCCAGGGCTCTGCAGGATTCCGCAAGTCAATCTGTGCCGGGTACTGAAGACGATGACATTGCCCGTGCGGTTTCGCTATCCTTGAAGGTACACTCGGAGTTTTCTCGTAAAGAGTTTTATGGTTGAAGCGTTTTACCTTAGACTGCAGAGGACGAGAAGAGGTTTCGAGATTTACTCTCGCAGCCGGAAGATACAGCAAGGTATGGTTGATCGCTGCCATTTCTGCAAGACGTGATTGTTTCTATTGCAGGGGAGAGAATCCAAGTACTGGTCCAAGCAGTTTCCCGACACGGAACGTCATCCAGGAGCCAGAGGAAACTCCTGACGAGCAGCCTTTACTCAGACGCAGACAGAGGCGCGTTGTTCCAATAGTGGAGGAGCCTGCTGCCGAGGAAGCTTTTGAGAGACAGCCACGAAGTGCTGACGAAGAGCATCGTCCAAGTGCGCCGCAGCCCAATGGCGACGTGATCCCCGCTGACGAGGTAGAGGATCTGTGCAGAAAGAAAGAAAACAACAAAACAACTTTCAGTGCTGACGCTCTCGACTTGTCATGCAATCTTCAGTGGGCAGGAATATCCTCGGAGGAGCAGGACGAAGCAGTGATGCTGGAGGCGGCGTTTTTTGGTGGACTTCCCGACATCCAGTATCGTCCAACACCTGAGTTCGCTGCTGCTAGCGCCGCCGATGTGTCAAGTTCTCGCCCCCAGCAGCCGCTTTCACCCTCCGTTGTTGCGCAACGGCTGTTGCGTGAGCAGCAGGTACTTTGATCTTCTGTGGTTTTTTCTACTTTTCCTTCCCTGGGAAAACGAAAGAAGTTTTTCCTTTTTATCACTCCATGATTCCAGGATGATGAATACCTGGCCTCGCTAGCGGCCGACAGAGAGAAAGAGGTGAAAGCGAAGCAAGACGCCGAGGCCGCGAGCGAGATGGAGAAGCTCCGGCGGCAGGAGGAGCAGCGCAGATCCGAGGCAGCAGCGGTAAGCGCTCCCGCCTTTGTCTCGTTTTCCTTGTTTGTATCCTTGCAACTGAGTGTGTGATGTGAACAGGAGCTGGAGAGAAAGCTGGCGACCAAGGCCGAGTCGCTGCCAGCCGAGCCAACGCAAGAGGACGATCAAGCCGTGACGATTCTCGTTCGCTTGCCAGACGGTAGCCGGCACGGCCGCCGATTCAGAAAGTCAGACAAGCTCCAGGTGAGCTAAGTGCATCCGCACTGACACAGATGTCGAGATATCATCAATCTCATATCTTTTTACGTGTCTCTCGCAGAATCTCTTCGATTTTATTGACCTCAGCCGAGCAGTGGAGCCTGGCACCTATAGGCTGGTATGTTTCCTCCCAAATCTTTTAATCGCTCCTCGGTTTTGATTCGATTCTGGATGGATTGGAAAAAATTTCTTTCTCAGGTGAGACAGTATCCGCGAAGAGCTTTTACTGGTGACGACCACGCTGCGTCGTTTGATAGCTTGGGCCTCACGAGCAAGCAGGAAGCGCTGTTCCTGGAAACCATTTAAAGCGCGAATGAGAGAACGCGAAAGAATAGAAAGAAATCGCGAGGAAGAGCTTCTCTTCTTTTTTTTTGGACGGGGATTTGGCGCGAGCGATTTTTTGTGTGTATCTACGAGGGAATATTGGGCGTGGTATATTCCATCGAGCTCCAAAACTCACCTTTTTACGAATATTTTACAACCGAGTGTGAGTGATCTTGTGCTTTGTGCATTGCTTAGGCTAGGGTTCCTCGGGCTGCGGGGGCGGCGGGTCTCGATCGATCACCCGGAATTTCATCTTTGCATTCCCGCCTGGGCGACGCGATTCGATGGAGGTGAGGTAGGGGCGAGAATCGGGAGAGCTTTTATTCTCGCGCTTCTTCTTCTCGAGCAATCGATCAATCTGGGGCGCGCGCGGGTTTGCATTTGGATGTGAATCGATCCGTGCGGTGAGTTTTCCCCCTTTTTCCATATAGTTACTGTTTGGATGTCGATTCGATACATTTGAGCAGTGTGGGAGCGTCAAGTGATTGAAGGGGGAGGGTGAAAACATGGCATGCCTCTCGGGAGCTCTCCTGGATTGCCTCGCTGATTGCCTCTAGCCGCAGCGATTGGAAAAACAAGAAGAAACAGGAATGGTCAGAGGAGTTCCATGATGTTAGTTTCTCGAAATCCCCTGATCTTTGTCTCGTTTTCACGCAGCGTTAGCCGCGCCAAAGAAGAAGCCGAAGAAGAACACGAAGAAGAGGAAGAAGAACAAGGAGAAGGAGAGGATGCCTGCCATGAGGTGAGAATTCCAGCCAGACCAAAGGGCTTCCTTGGATCGAACAGGAGGGGAGAAGGAAGCCATGGCTCCCCTCAAGGGTCCTCACAATGAGCGCTACACGGACTTCTACGACGATTGGTCCAACACGCAGCTCCAGCAGCTGGAAGAACTGGAGCGCGCTCTCAACAGCAACATGTCCGAGTCGGAGATCAAAGCTCTGGTGGACAAGGCCAAGATGCACTACGACTACTACTACGGTGCCAAGGACAACGCCGCCAAGCAAAACGTCCTCCAAGTCATGACCCCGGCCTGGAAGACTCCACTCGAGACGGCCTTCATGTGGACAGGGGGGTGGCGGCCGACGATGGTTTTCCAGCTCGCCTACGCGCTCGCCGGCCAGCTCGTAGAGGCCGAGCTCTCGGACCTCCTCTCCGGGGTGGACAGCCCGAGCCTGGCTTCGCTCTCGGCCCGGCAGCTCGAGAAGATCAACGAGATGCAAGTGAAGGTCCAGAAGCAGGAGGACGACATCTCGCACCGGATGGCGGTGCTGCAGCAGGGGATGGCGGACCAGCCGTTTGTGGGGATCACGCAGACGCTGGCCGCGAGCGAGGATGATAAGATGGAGGCGGCGGTGGACTCCAAGCTCAAGGATCTGGAGAGCCTGCTGGAGGAGGCGGATAACTTGAGGAGGGAGACGCTGCACAACATGCTGGACACGCTCACTCCCGTCCAGGCGGCTCAGTACCTGGTGGCGGCGGCGCAGCTCCAGGTGGCGTTCCGGAAGATTGGGGCGGTGAAGAACGGCAGCAGTGGCGATTGAGACGAGCAGCGGCGGCGGAATGTGGATCGATCGAGCCTCCGATGGGTCGATCCAAGCGAGAGTGGCGGCGATACGATGGAGAAAGGGAAAAAAGAACAAAGAAGTATCATGAGAACAGCGAGTGTTAGATCTCTTTTATCGCATTTGTACCTGGAATATTCTTGGTATTTAAGACTTTCTTTACAGTCGCATTTGAATTTCGAATATTCGTAGAATGTCCCTTTTCCCCAAATGCGAGACTTTCTTTTAGGGTTCTTATCGCTAGATCGATCGCGCGATAGCGGTCGCGGCAAGGAGGAGAATGGCGGCGATGAGGCGCGGCGCCAGCGGAGGATCGGCGCCGGAGGTCGCCGACGCCGAATCCCCCGCCTCGTTGATGCTGCGCAGCTCCAGCGTGTTGCTGTAGAGGCTGCCGAGGAGATCCTCGGCGGTCTTGTTGGAGGCGACGGACGAGGAGGCGCCCGCGGCGAACTCGTTGGCCAGGAGGTTCTCGCCGCTGAAGAGGTTCTTGAATGTCTCGTTGTTGTTGGCCTTGTCCATGACGTCGTTGAACTCCTGGATCTCTTTCTTGGAGAAGTTCCCGGCCACCATGATGGTGTGGCCGGGCGCGGTGCCGAAGTTGCAGGATCTGTAGCTGGAGATGCTGGCGCAGGGCTTTCCATCGAGTGGAGTCGGGCACACGAGCTGGTAAGATCCGGTGTCTTGGAGATTGGTCCAGTTTTGTTCTAAGTCGCCGCCCTTTGCATAGAGGCTCGGGATGGTGTGCTTCGTGAAGGCGATGTCTCCGCCGCCCTCCACCAAGCAACGGAACGCTCCAGAGTAGTCGTAGTAGTCGTCGTCCTCCGAGCATCCAGACTTGATCTTACAGCCGCTGCAAATGCTCTTCCTGGGATCGTTGCTCGCAGCGCACGATGTGGAGAAGAAGGATCTCACGGACTCGATGTCGTTGGTGATCTGTGGATCCCTGCAAGAACACAAAAAAGTTTGCCAAGGTGGGTTTTTTCTTCTTTTTCTTTTACTTCTACTTCGACTTACTTGCTGACCAAAGGCATGATTTTGTTGTGGATGAAGTATGTGACGGGGAGAACCCAGCCTGCCGATCTTCCGTAGCCGGTGTGGCAGGACTTTTTGCCGCGTAGATCTGATAGCTTCCTCGGGCAGCTGTCGGCTTTCACGATTCCAACGCCGTAGTATCTGCTGCTCTCGAGTTGATTTACCTCAGTCCGGATGGGGAGGAGTCCATACTGCTGGGATGCCTGGAGGATCTCGCCACCGTCAAAGATGCCAATCTTTGCGCCGCCAGTCGCGATCTTCCTCATGCAGCTCTCGGCATCGCCTTCGCCAGCAACGCTACAAGCAGAAGACATGAGGTTTGGTTGCTTCTCCTCTTTTAATTGTGCGACTAAACAAAGATCTTACCAGCTGTGCTGGTGTTCTCTTTCAGGATCAATGCCGTCAAGGATGGTGTTCATCCTCTTGCACAAGTCAAGCTCGTCTTCGTCTTCCACGCACCACACCCAACCTGTTGCAGAGGAACAGGTGCTGCTAAGATCTCTAAGCCAAGGCTCTGAAACTTACTTTCCTGGAAAGGATCGTCGTCGTCATCATCGTCCCCGGATGGAGGAGCTGCTGCTGGCCCCTGTGAATCCACCTTGACCACAAAGAGCGCAACGCAGATCAAAAGCAGCAACAACCACAGGTACGACCGCTCCATTCTTCCCTGTAAGAATTTTACCAAGCTTCCATCAACAGGGAGAGAGATCAATCAACACTCGCGCAACGAAAGAGCAAGGAAAACAAGAAAGAACTTGTGAGGCGCCGAAGAGCCAGGCAGGACGATAAGGCCGTGAAATGTTCTCAGCCTCGCAGCAGTGGCACAGACACTTTTCTTTTCCTGATTGGCTGAGAGGGAGCTAAAGTAATAGATATGCTCTCGCTCCTCGGTACTGCTAATCTTCTTGGTCATGAAACAGACACTTCTTTAACAGCCTCGCAGAGAGAAAACGTACAGACAGCCCATGATCAAAGATTCAAACCAGAGGAACGCAAAGACCTGTAAGCTACATTTGCAGGAGAGGTATTACTGACCTGAGACGTCTTTGTTCTTCCAGAAAGGCTTGATCATCTAGTATCTGGGCTATAAAGGCTCTATAGCTGCGAGCGAGAGCTTGTCGCTATGTAACATGATATGTGAGGTGACTCACTTTATATATTTCACTCTCTCCTTGACTAGCAGAGCGTTCCTCGTCACATGAAGTGCTCCTACGGGCAGAATATGCGCCGGCATCCACAGCGACGTGTGACCACGAAGCAAAAGTACGCTCGCAATGTGGGCGACACGGGTGCGAGCAGGAAACTAGCTGAGTTGGCCGCCACATCAGCTGGCACGTAAGATATGTTTCAATTCTCCATCAAAAGGACAAAGCAACCTAATTCACTAGGCATATTAGCGATTGAATACTTAAGATAAAAAGAATTTGAAAAAGAATTTAAATATCTGAATAAGTTGAATCTGAAAATTTAATATCTTTACGAGGAATAGTTTTAAAAGCAAATAATTTTCGTTCTAGAAGAACAAGGAGACAACGTTTCATCAAACTTTGTCGACAGATTTTCTGATTCACCAAATATATGTAAAGATGTACAAAGGAGCTTCCTAAAAAGGTCAGAGGCAAAGAAGAAAGAAACTCTAAAAAGGAAGAGCAATGGTGGATGTTACCTGCGGCAATGGAATGGAAAAACAGACCTCTACAAATTAAAAACCATGGAAGGCCGCTTGATCGCTTGCTTGCTCGCTAGAAACGTAAGCCTCGCATATCTTTGTTGGACGGTGGTACGCCTTCTTTGTTTCATCATCATCTTGAGTGGAGAGGAGTAATGTTACAGGATCGGGGAACTTGGAGGAGAAGGTACGCTTTACAAGGAAGGATGGAATTGTTCTTCTTTTGTTGGATGGTTGTTTGTTTCATCGTTGTCTCTGTTGATCTTCTTCTTTCTTCTTCTTCGTCTTCTATACACGCGAAGCCCCGGCGAGAACTAAGCTTCTAGTTCTGCCTGCTCCTTGGCCTGATGGGCCGCCCAGTAATTGTTGGCTGCGATCACTCGATCCAGCAGCTCCTGAGGCACCGGATCCCCCCGGCGCTGGTGGGGAGCGATCTGTGCAGTGTGGACCAGTGTCTTCCACTTGTCCTGGAACAACAAGCCTGTTAGACGGAAGAAAAAAAAACAAAAAGAAAATCCAACAGCACTGACCTTAAGATCCACGTATGTCCTGTGCTTGGCGTTCTCAAAAGCCTGGAGTTTGACATCACGCCACCTGGAAGGAAAAGACCAACGAGATAAGTCAAGAGAAACAACAAAACAAGAAACAAAACTTTGTTACCTTCCAGTTCCAAGCTGCTCGACGGCCTGGACAAGGGATTCAACCTCGCCAACGCTAAACGGCCTCCTTATGCGCCGCTTGTGGATCTCCAGCGAGTGGCTCTTTGGACGCATGGGAACAAGAGCCAGCCCCTGAGCACCACCATTCTCCACTCCAACCCCGACTCCGACCGCGGGGTGGAGGATTATGGCCTTCGCGTCGAGCACCCGAGGCTTGTACGGGGTGGCCTGAGATAAAGTCGAGGTCGAGTCCGACTCGTTCTGCTTAGCCTGGTCGTCCAGATCTCCCTCTGGCTTCATCGTTGGCACAGCGGACGCGTCATTGTGCTGTTCAGGAGCAGGGCCCAGCGAAGTCGTCGGGACTGAAACATTTGCTGTAGCATCTGGCTGTTGTTGCTGTGTACTGTCGGCTGATGGACGAGTCCACGCGCCATCCACAACATAAGCTGACCTGCAAGCCAAATAAATATAAAAACTCATTCAACACAACCAGAAACACGTTTTTCATACCTGGAATTCGGCTCACTCGCCGCATGTAACAGGACAAGGAGAGGATCGTCCTGCTCAGTTGACGCGGAAGGAATGGACGTTGGCTCCAGCATAAAGCCCAAGTCAGACTTTCCGCCGTGAGAGATTCCCATCTCAGATAACGTCGCGGCTTCGTCGGGAACCTTCCTACCCTGGACAAGAACGCAGACCCTTAAACCGCCTCCAAGTAAATTCATTGCTGCATCCATCACAGCCCTCTACATTTATACCAGAAAGGAAATTAGCGGCTGGGATGCAGTAACCTACAAGGCTTACCTTCAAAGTTCCAACCGTGGCCGACTCTGGAATATCTACATAGAGCTCTGGAATGGTGAACGACTTGACGCTAACTTTGACTGCGAAAAAAGAGAAGAGAAAACGTTATTAAAACGCAAAGCCAGACGAAGCTTCCTTACCATGGCCGTCAGCTGTCTTTCGAGATCCTGGTGGCGTTGCTACACTGGCTGCTTTGGCTGTAAAAAAAACAACGACGTTAGAATCCAAAACCTTCACGAAACTATTCTAATCTAAGCAGCCAGCACACCCTCGCTCATTTCCGCGGTCTACGTTTACCTCTACGAAGTTTAGCAGCTGCTGCAGGAGGCTCACAATCTCCGTCAACATCCAAATCATGTGGCATGATGAACGGGACATCCCCCTTAAACCGTTTCTTTCCTTTCACGGTTCTTTTATAGTGAGTGCCATCATCTGAAATTCAGGCCAACTCAGAACTTCCAAAGCAAACCACAACACTGAATCCCCACACAGGACTGACCACCACCCAACCTGTTTTCCAAAGGGTTATTGTCCGAACCAGCACTTTGCACACAGGCAAAGCTCACGAACAACCCTTGTCCTTCCACACAGGTTGCCAACGTAAGGAAAAACTAGATCCGAAAACGATAAAGAATTCAATCGTGCCAAGAGTAGAGAAGCATACCTGAGGTTGGCGAAGAAAACTCGTCGTGCTTGTTGCGCTTGCCTCCCCAGCCAGAAGACCTGGACACGTTCTTCCTCTTCCGTGAACGCCTGCTATTCTTCTGTGGCTTTTCCAGACCCTCCTCGGACATGATGCACTCCGAGCTGCACTCCTCGTCTTTCACTTTTGCCTGATTTCCAGTCTCAGCACTCACGTGACTCACTGGCTTATCGGTCACTACCACGCCATCTGGATTGCCCGGAACTACCGGAGCTACCGCTGCTGCCGCTGCCGCCGCTGCTTCAGCCTTATTCTTCCCTTTCATCTCCTCCTCGTGAGAAGCCTGGTTTACCTGACACTGCAAGTTGAGCAGCTTCCTGATGTCCGATTCTACTAGCGCGAACGACGTTCCGGATTCGTTATCAGACTTAACGTCCTCCTGCTTCCGAGGCTGCACTGGACCGTCTTTAACAATAAACTTATCTTCTACGCTAGAAGCAGCTTCCGCAGCGTCCCCAGTACCTGAGCTTACTTGCTGCCTGAGCGCCTCCCTTTGAGTCTTCTGCTCCTCGCTACCCTGTAACAGCTCTAGCCCCGCAACCTCGGCTAACCAGTCAAAAGGAACACCAACTTTCCTGGATCCTCCAGCTCGACCCTGTAACAAAAAAAAAGGCACAGCCGCGGATAAGAACCCCGAGCAATGGAGAACAAGACGAAACAGAGAAAAAACCAAAACCCCAACACGCAGCATGCATGCATGCATGCCAAGGAAGCACAACACGGGCAGCAAAACCGAAAGAAAGAGAGGAAAAAAAAGGAAGAATCTTTTAAAAACCCACCCGAGTAGAGGAACGAGTAGAACGAGGAAGCGCTGGTCCACTGTACCCCGGGACTCCCGATCCCATCCTTCGCCGAGCTCCCATAAACATACACCGCGCGACGGAACTAAGGCGCTTTTATCTATCGTCCAGGCACGGCGCACAAGTGTCAGCTCCTACTACCTCTCTAAAACCTCGCTAAAGCCCAAAACCTTACCATATATAAAAACCCCAGATCTAAAGGGTTTCCTCGAGCAATTTTAAAAAATTTAAAGGCGAGGATTTATCTGCAAGAAAATGTTTCGTAAAAACCAAGAAAAAAAAATTTAAAAGGGAAGAGATCCGGTAAGAAGAAGAAGAACAGGCAAATTTCTTTAAACTGACCCAAGCAACGAGATCAAGCATCAAGGAATCAAAAGAGATCTAAGAGATCTTACAATGCGCTTCTTGGAGGCCGATAATTCCCTACCGTACGCGGCCAATTCGCCCCCAATTCCTCGCACGCCCCGCAAGAAGGCCCCGGATTTCCCAATAGCCCCTACCGCCGCAGATCGATCCCCGGAACAAGGCCGCAAGATCTACCCTGGATGCCCCAATTCGCCGCCAAGACGACGGATCTTTGCCTTCTTTCTTGACTTCTTTCCAAGAATTTCCCACCCCTATCTCCTCGCCCGCCCGGCACCTAAGCCTCAATCCCTCGAGGAGCACGGCGCCGCCGTGGCGGCCAGCGCGCGTTCCTCACAGGCACGCCCTCGAAGCGGCCGGCGCGAGCGCCACAAATTCCCCCTGCCGGAGGACGATCGCGCCCGCTAGAGCTCGCATTCGAGGCGCTTGGCGGCGGATCAAACGCCCAAAACGCTCCCTTCCTCTCTCTCCCTCTCTACACGAAAAAATACCACACTCCAAATCTTTCTATGTCTTCCCAACGCGTGTTCTTCTTGTGTGTTCTGTAGGGCTTTGTTGTGTTTTTACCCCGCGGTTAAAAACTAATCTTTACCTCCAACTACAAATACCGGGCCGTCATTTACGGCATAAACCTCCGTCAAACCCAACGGCGATCCTCCGCCGTCCATTCCCAACCATCCGACGGTCCGGGCCCCGCGTGCTCTAACGTGCGGCCAGCAATTGCAGCGCCATGCCCACTCGTATTCCACGTGTAGCTCTCTTTTAAACAGATAGGCTAGCGCAGCCCCGGCACAGGCCCAAAACAGGCCCGGCACAGCCTCGGCACACAGGCTCGGGCATCTTAAACCCCCTGGGTTTGAGATTTCGGTCCCTTATCTGCCACGTCCGCGCCTACGTGGCGAGCGGACCCAATGGCGCGTGTCGTTTAACGTGGTCATCATCCACTTTTCCCATTGGCCAGCGTGTTTTACGTAGTGGGTTATAATCCGTGCAGTCCAGAATGCCGTACGGGGCCATGCGCGCGCTCTATCCTCTGGCGCCCCCGGTCTGTGTGTGAGCCGGATGGATTGGCAGGGGAATCTTTTAGATTCCGGGCCGATTCCCCTCGTTGTTTTCTTTTCCCCTCAAGAAACATTCTAATCGCCAGTTTCTTGGAGGGCCGGCCATTCATGGCAAGCATGATTGGGTCATACCTTGGCAACCGAGCTTTGGATCTAAACAAACCCATCACCGTCCATTTAAGAAGAGCAGCGATTGTGTAGAGCTTACTTGATTGTGTGATTTTCCAGATTCCAATAACCCAGTTGTTGGATAGTAAAAAAAATGCGATTGATTATATTTTTTGGGTTTTGTATAGCTTATACAAAACTATACAACGAGTGCCTCGGCATTGAGGCTGGCATGTGGCCACCCAACTACGCACCTCAACTTGAAAGGGTTGTTTTCTTGCAAATATTAGAGAAAGCTTGGAGGAACAACGCGGGATGGATTGTTCCAAGATCTCAATCAAGTGTCTCGTCGGGATCAAAGAGAGAGATTTGGCATCGAAAACGTGACAGTCGCGTGGGGACAAAGAAGAAGAAGCGAGAATCAATCTCCTCCATATCTCAAGCCGCACAGAGTTCTCCTATTTTTCCTCTCAAAACCGCGATCAACTTGCTCGAAAACTCAAGGCGAAATCCTCGAAGTCAAACGTATTCAAAGGAGTTGACTATAGAAAGATTCCATCGCACCTCACATGTTGGTTGTATGGCGCCACAAGCAAGATGCCACGAACCGGGGAATCGAATCATCGGTAATGACATAAACACAAAAAAAATCAACACACGACAGCCCACATTTGTGGCCAGGCCAGCCAGCGAAAGACGATGTCCCTTTAACCTAAAAGGCTATTATACAGAATGGGAGAATCCAGATCCTCGAGAAAACAATGTGTGACTGTGAATCCCTTCGCTTTCCTCGCTCAGGGCTTCGATTCGAGCCGCGGACGTTTTGTTCCTGGTGTAACGTAGCTCTCGCCTCAAAATAAATAAATATATTAAGAATAAAGGAATAAATAAAATAGAAGCACACATTCTAAATTGCTGACGCGTTGCTGGTGCTGTTCGTTTTTTGTACTATCCTGTTGTAGGAGGTGGTTTGGTAATTTGGTTCTTCCAGCATGATTTAAGGCAAGCACAGGCCAGACGCACCCAGTATAACTGCCAATTTTGAATTTATTTATACATTCCAGAAAAAAGTATTGAATTTATATTTTTCTTGTAAATATTTCCGTTTCTTTTTTTAATTCATACAATGCTGTAAGAAACTGGCGATGGCGTGCGATGGACTCCTGTTGGTTACGTAATGAACAAGCGGCCAAGCAAACAGGTCAGTCAACTGGCCAGCGCGCAGCAGCGCTGCTACGTGACGATCGAAGACACCACTCACGCAATTGGAGCTTTGATCCAAAGTAATAACCATGTCGTCGCAACAAAATACTATACTATGGAAACATCCACACCATTCAGAACACGAAATCGCTCGTGGAGGAAACAATACCAGTCCTGCTCGCATACGTCAGCAAAGCATTCTCTTTTCCTCTCTAGGGCAGCTTTGTCAACTTTTATAATGGTCTCTGGAGCTTGATCACTCCTCTACCTACACTCTTTAGGAGAAAGCTTGTCCACTTGTGGATATATGTGTAGACTATTTAATATGTATTCTAGATATTTAAAATTATTAAATGGTTGTTGCTTAGAATATGCTAGCATCACTCACTGGCGGCCTGCCACCATGAAAGGTCAGGCCTTAAAAAAGTGGGGATCCATCCTCTTCTCTCTTCTTCGTTCGTGGTCCAAACACACCACCTACCCCTCAATATCCACGTGTATATCAGATATTAATGGAGAATTTCCAATAAAGGAAAAAGGGAAAAGCCAATCGGTTCTTGGCATTATTGGGTGCTGGAGATTTCCCTCTACTGCTTGTAAGAATAGAGGATGTCAAAAGTTAAAACTATGCTTGCAATCTCTGGCCAAAATCATTACCCTTGAAAGCTTGTGTCTCCAAATCTCGTGTTATACTCCAACAAAAAGCTACTCACAAGAGGGCTTCACAATTTATGCAATGTATCGGCCAAATGTTCCCAAAGTCTACCCAGCATGCCCTACGTCAAGCATGTGGAAACGATAGCAAAGCTGTAGTGAAGTTACTGGTACGGATGTAATATTCAGCAGTATAGTATAGATTTTGACATTATAAAACTAAACGTTTGAGATAGGATTAAGAATTTAAAATATAAACTAGACTTGTCTCAACGTTTTTCTAAAACATTACTTGAAAAATATTATGTTTCACGAAAACTATCATGTGGGATACTCAAAATTGTATTTATCTTTCTCTAACATTAAAGATGTTTGTGCTCTTAGCAAGAAATTTACTATTGTATAGAATGAGAACAAACTGGCTTTATCTAATATAATAAAAAGTAGTAAGTTAAATGTAAAAATGGTGGATAATCAGATCAAATTAGTTAGGATAGTAAATTTATAAAAAAGATTATCATTTTCAAACAGTTGTATGATTGGATAACCAGTTTACCTTATATAAAATAGTAAGATCATACACTAATGTGAAGGTAATAGATTTTGCAAATTATGTATAAAAAAAATTCTATTCCTAGAGTGTGTAGATATATTATATAAATAATAATAATAATTTTAGTGAGCATATAAATTTTATTTTTTTTAACCTAGAAATTTTAAATTAAATTAAATTTGATATATTTCTGAGTATGAAATCTTCTTCAAAACCATCATAAAGTTTCTTTTGCAACTTCAAAATATTTTATTAAAATATTAGAGGCTGTAATGTAGATAATTTTTTAATTTTGAGATACATTATTACAAAATCACACTGAATTATACATAAATATTTCTATGATGTAATTAATTTAAAATTAATAATACCTTAAATTATATATTAGAGAATCTTAATGAAAGAGTCTAAAAGTAAAAAGTTTAATATGATCTACTTCATATATGATTCATTATTTTCTTTAATTTATTATGAATTAATATTAATATAACAATAAATTATATATCAAAATTAGATTTGCGACCAAGAAAGTGGATAATCGCATCAAAGTAATCACATGAAACATGTTCCAGCTGCGATTACAAACTAGTTTCAAATCAGATTAGTGATTAATTTAAATTGCCAAAATTGGCGATTCAAATTAAATACTAGCATTTGAAGTAATGAAAGAAGTATAAATTAAATTATCAAATAACTTCTTTGTAAAGAAGAATTTATAATCTTTTATAGATAGCAAGTTTAAGCAAATTCAATAGTGATTTTTTTATATTAAATATGAATAAATTATATTTTATATAAAGTAAAGACTTATTATATATAAAAATAAAAATGTTGAAATATGACATAAAAATAAACAAATAGGAGAAGAAAATGCTTTAGTGATAAAATAAAAACTAAAAAATAAATTAGAATATAAATTAAAAGTATATCACTATGAACCTCATGCAAAGAATAAATGGTTAACAATTGCTTTGACAAGAAAAATGAGTCAAATTGTTTTATGTGATTATTAAAATAAATTAATAATATTTTAGTTTATTTAATAATTGATTTTTCTGTTTTATATAATAAGTGAAACAGAAACTTAATTATAAAATTATATTAAAATGAAATAAAAATAATTATAGAGAAAAAATATAATGTTTGAATCTTCACAAAAGGTTTTATTAAAATTTACTAATATTGTTGAATTTGCAATATACCATTTAATACATATAAAGTTCTTCCCCAAGAATGATTCCATCTAAAATTTCACAGAGGATAATATATTAGTTGGCATTTCGAATAAAGAAAGTATACGTTAAGACCATAAAGAAACATAAACCTAAGGTTTAGGTATAAAAGAATATGCTTTAGGTTGATGGCACAAGAAGAAGGGCGGCCATTCCTGGAGCACTTGGAGTCCTACCTCGCGCGCAGGGATGGAGTGGACAAGCTGCTCAAGATCGCCCGCTACGCCGCCAAGATTGCCGTCGCCGCGCAGCCATCGCCGCTGCCTGATGGGGCTCTTGATCGGCTGCGCCTGTTTGAGGCAAGCGTTGGGACAAGCCGCAAGGCATTCCGGCTGGGCAAATTCGTCCAGGACGTGAATGCGCTCCTCAGGGCTAGCAAATCGCCGCACAGGGACCGCCAGCGCTGGATCCTGGAGCTCATCGCCTATGGCGGCGAGGGATTGTACTACTTCGTGGAGCAATTCGTCTGGCTGGTGAGTTGGCATTTCCTAGGATTGGAATGGAAGAAACTCTCTCGTTTCTCTCTCCCTTTTCTTCCTTGGCAGGCTAAGACCGGGCTGATCAACAAGCACCACTCCAAGAAGCTCCAGAAGATCAGCGCCTGGACGGAATTCGTGGGCTACTTTGGGAGCGTGATCCTCAAGTACCAGGAAATCTCCGCCATGATCGCGAGGGAGAAGGCGCTGATCGACGCTCATCGCCGCCACAAGAGAGAAGACGCTGCTTCCAGGGAAGAGATTGTTTCTCTCAAGTCGCAGATCCAATCGCTCCATAGCAAGAGGTTCCTCAAGACGCTCTCGCTGATCCAGGATTTCGCCGATTCCCTGCTTGCCCTCAGCGACATTCGAGATGGGCGAGGGGTGCTCTCGGCGCCATTGCTGCTCGCATCCGCCGGCCTCGTCTCCGCGACCATCAGCGCGCACAAAAACTGGAATAGCTGCTAATAAATTTGCTAGAACCCTAATAACAGAGCTTGCATTTTTAGGGCTCTTGGAAAGATTTGCTAAAACCCCTAATAACAGGGGTTCTTGGAGATGTCTTTTCCTCTTGTGGTCTTTCCTCTTGTGGTCATTGGTTTTTTACCTTGAATCCCTTGCAGCATAGCGCGGCTGCCATTGAGGAGAAGATGTATGTGGTGGGAGGATGCTGCAGGGACCGATACTTGAACGATGTGCTGGTGAGAACTTAAGTAGCGTGGATCTTTCTCAAGTTCTTAGTAACACTCTCGTGGAGGTTTTGGATTTGGGAAGCTTGAAGTGGTCGACAGCCCAACCTTGTCCCGTGTAGCATTGCCTGGTAAGTTGAGTCTATTCAGTTTCTAGCGGGCTTTGCTTAAACATGGTCGACGCTTTGCAGTTAGCAAGTGGAAGAACGCTCTTTCTCGTTGTTGGCATTCCGTCTGATGAAAAGATGCGCGGTACTGTGTGGTTCTTGCCACCCTGATCGGGAGCAAAATATGGGTGTATGGCTGTAAGGACTTTCAGGGTCAGCTGCACCCTCGGGTACATTCACTCGATCTGGAAAGCAAACAGTGGGAGCTAGTTAACGCAAGGTACGCAGATCCAATACAAAGATCGCAATTCCATACCTCCATGTGGCAGTGGCTCCATCCCACCACCGCTTGCTTTGCGGTGCATAAAGGCGATAATCTGTACCTTTTTGGAGCTGGTTCATCTGGCTTTTGCAAGAACCTATACGCACTGAATCTCGTAAATGTAAGCACGGAGTCTTAAATGCTATATAGCTTTGGCCCAAAATGTTTGCAGCGTCAATGGTCCTGGTATCCAGATCAAGGTCCCACCCTCGTACCTGCGGCGCGTTTTGCAACTGCTGACACAGGAGACGAGTGCCATCTTGTCGGTGGTAAGTTCAATTCTTTGTGCTCCGATTACCTCGTATATCTATCTATACACTAGGTGCTACGGAAGAAACCATGCTACTGAACATGGAGTCTTTGAAGTGGACCGTAGTGTGTGCTGAACCTCGTTTGGCTACTGACGTAAGTGCTTAAGTTTCTTTTGTTGCTGCAGAAGAATACTTATTTAACATGTAGAGCCTGAGATTGGTGCACGCGCGAATCAAGGGTCGGGGCGCTCTGATTGCTTCAGGGGGTAATCCGGTACGCGTTTTATGTGTTGGTCGCTCACCCGACTGATCCTCTGCACTTATGGAGTTTAGCGTCTTTCTACTCAAGACTATGAAGTCATATCCGGTGCCAGGTCAGGGCATAGACGGGTCACTTCTGGCGCTGTTTGATATTCCAGAAGCAGGGGAGCAGGCGCTTGAGATTACAGACAGGGCTTGGAGGAAGGTGGGGGACAAAGACTTCTTGGTGAGGGACGGTCGTCCTCTGGAACGTAACTCTGCCATCTTTCCCGGAGACGAGATAGCATTCCACCGGAGTGACTCTGTTGGAGTACCTAGCATTCATCGCAACAGGACGTGTGAGGTCCATCGCATGACACTTGAAGACTGTAAGTTTCTCCTCGCCCGGGTGAAGATCGAGCTCATGAGAGGGGAAGGGTGGCTAAAACCACGAGAGCGAAGCTTTCGCAGGGTGGAGTAGCAGGAGGCGACGGGACACGGTGAAGTACCTGGAGGAGCGTGCCAAAGTTGGCGATCTTTTCAGGCTGCCTCATGTAGCTGACGGCGAGGGCACAGTTGTGCAGGAGATATCGAGCTCGACCGCGGGTGAGGAGTTCCCCTACACCCTTCGCTTCGCGCTGGACGTGACGCTCGTGTACAAGTGTGTTGTCGAGGACATCATCATGGGCTACTATATCAAAGAAGAGATTAACGAGCTGCACATATGGAGGGCGCTCGTGATGTTGCTGGGAGTGAACATCAAATGCCGCACCCTCAAGCCGTGGGTGGTGATCACGGACCTCAAAGACGAGTGGCACTTCGCGTGGATGGTGTACGTGTGCAGGGCGCGGAGCAGGAGCCAGGGACTGGGGATTGTCCAGGACCTGTGCAACGACTACAACCTGGTGACTGCGCCTGAGACGACCGGCGTGCTCTCGAGCCTGCCTAGCGTCTACACTCGCGCTTGTGTGGGGTTCCAGTGTGATGTGGATGAGGAGACACGGGAGATGCTCGCCCCTCGCCCGGTTGCGTTTCGTAGGGGTCCAAATGGCTACGCACTCACGCCATATAGACTTGAGGTGGATAGAGCTTATCTACTATCAATCTTGATGGGAAAAAGTTGGGCATCCAAGTTTGAGGCTCTACTGCTCACGGGCTGCTGCTATCCGTTGCGCTACAAAAGCACCGATGCTTGGAGAATGTTGGTTTCCAAGACTGTTTCCATGGAGAAGCTGAATTTTCAAAAGTTTTTAATGGGTGAATTGCCAGAGCACTTCCAAAAGATTCATCGAGAATTTATCTTGCTTGTGGGAAAAAAAAGGGTTCCTGGCCAGATTATTTTCCCCCGGGGACTGCTTCCCGAGGGACAGTTGCTCGCCTTTCAAGGATAGGCTCTTCTTCAATGACAAGCAATGCAACATAAAAGCGGTGAAAAAAAATCTTTCTATTCATTTTGATATCTCAATCTTTCTTTCGATGGTGGGGGTCGTCACCAGCATCCTTAAAGCTCTCTGGCAGAGGATTAATAGCTCATCGGAAGAAAAATTGGGTTAGCTGGTAGTGTACGAAGTTGTCTAGATTCCTTCTTACCTGTAATCCTTGCCCTTGGTTTGCTTGATCTTCATCGCTCAACGACTCTCTCGCATTTTTAGGGTTCTTAATAACAGCCCAGGGCTCTTGGATGCCCACGGTGAATGAGATGGGAGGAGCTCGATGGAACTGTGAAGCTGCTACGCCAGTGTGCCGCTGCCAAGGATCGAATCAATGGAAGGCAGCTCCATCGGATGCTCGTGAATTCCGGCCAGGATTCCCTCACCTTGATTGGGAATTTGATTGTCAAAATGTATGGCGATTGCGGGCTTGTGGGCGATGCGTGGGCGGCGTTCCAGCGAATTGCGAGCAGGAACGTCTTCTCGTGGAACATCCTGATGGCCGCGAGCGCCGACGGGGGAGAGACGAGCCTCGCGCGAGAGGTTTTCGATCGGATGCCCAGCTCGGACATTGTGTCGTGGAATGCGATCATTGGCATCCTCGCGCGCGCCCGGGAGATTGAGAAGCTCGCCGCGATCTTCTTGGCGATGCCGGACAGGGATGTTTGCAGCTGGAATTCGTTTGTTTCAGCAAATGCCCAAAGTGGGCATCTTGATCAAGCAATCCTCGCCTTTCTAAAGATGCCCAAAACGCAATCAATTACATGGAACGCCATCGTTAGCGCGTATGGAGACCACAAAAGAATCCTTGAAGCGAAAGTTATGTTTGATCGGATGGTGGAAAGAGATGCCACGTCATGGAACGCAATCGTCGCCGCACATGCCTTGAACGGTGATCCGGAGCGCGCGGGAGATCTGATCCAACGGATGCCGCAGCACACACTGTGCTCGTCCAACGCGCTCCTCACGGCCCACTGCCTGAGGGGACGATTGGAAGAGGCTAGGGATTTGCTCCTGGATGGATCGCGCCCCAGGAATCTCGTCGGCTGGAGCGCGGTAATCGGAGGCTACGCGCAGGCAGGGCGCGGCGCTGAATCGCTCCAGCTCTTCCGCGCCATGGATCTCGACGGCGTCCAGCCGGACAACATCACATTCATCAGCGTCGCCTGCGCGATCGCGAGCATTCCATCCATCGCCCAGGCCCGGCTCTTGCTAGGGATCATCCGGGATTACGGATTACCCGAGGACACTCCCCTGGGCACGAATCTCATCAACATGTTTGCCAAGTGTGGGGATTTGGAAGCCGCGAGGAGGGTCTTCGAGGAGATGCCGGTGAGAGACATCGTCGCCTGGAATTCTATGCTTACTGCGTATGCCCAGGCTGGACGAGTGGATCAATCACTGGAGCTCTTTTATTCCATGATCTCGCAGGGGATTTTGCCCGTGCTCGTCTCCTTCGTGAGCATTCTCTCGTGCTGCAGCCACGCAGGGTTGCTGTGGAGATCTCTCGAGTTCTTCCATGGAATGAGTGGGGATTTCGAACTGGCACCGGGGTTTGAGCACTTCCGGTGTATGATCGATGTGTTGGGCAGGGCCGGGCATCTGGAAAGTGCCGAGGATTTGATCCAGAGCATGCCATTTGAGCCAGATGGGGTGATCTGGAACACGCTGCTGGGTGCGTGTAGGAACTACAGGGATGTAGAGCGTGCGGAGCGTATTGCGTGGGAGATATTTCGGCTGGATCCGGAGCTTCTCTCGTCCTATGCTCTTCTCTCAGGCACATACGTAAACATGGATGTTCATTTCCTATACTTTAGTAGTTTTCAAGACTAGGTTGCACCCAAATTTGACTCAAAGCAGCCAGCGCCACAGCAAGAAAGGAAGGTAGAGCTCATATATTTCCAAATTTTCAAAGGCCAAGAGAACTAATGACATTAGAGAAAGTTTGCATTTATCAACTGAAAATAAGAAAATGTATAATAGGTGCAGCAAATTATTTACTATTAGTACATACTATTAAGTATTGTGTAATAATTTAAATTGTTGTTTTCAACTTTTATATAAGAATCCACTATGCATTATTGTGTGAGTTTGCCTGCATGTAAAATTTGAACAGAACAGTATTGTGTCTCTTTTTGCATAATACTGGAGTAATGTATCGAATTAAAAATATTTTCATATCAGCATCAAGATGTAAAAGTAAATTTGTCTTGCAGTTTGAATTGAATGGGTTTTTCTTTCTTAAAACTGTGGCTTCTAGAGTGTAAGGATATAAAGTTGTTCATAAGTTTAATATTGACCTTCAGAAGGATGTGCTTACACAATATTAGATTTTAAAACAATAAATACCATGAATATCAATGTTAGTAGACATGAATACAAAAGCAAGAGCACTCTTGTAGTTGGTTCTAAAATTATAGTTTTTATATTTCTTGTAAAGTGAAAGTAAATCAAATGGTGAAAGTAAAATTGGAGGTAATATAGCTTGGTTTTTCTGGCAACAATAACAAAAAGTACAAACTACGAATATTAAATCTTATTATATTAAAGTCATTGTAAATGCTATGGCTTGCTAGTGTGGCATTCATTGGGTGAGAAGGGTTCATTTAATGTTGCTTGATGTATATAATAAGATGCATGTAAGCTTTCAGATGCTTTTAAATTTCCAATTGATTGGTGTATATAATCATTATCATGGTTATGATGATAATTAGTTTTTTAAACTGCTATAGTTTGTGTATCACGATCAGTCATGGTTTCATCAGAGACATTTAAATTTCCATTAGATTGGTTAGTATGTTGTATTGTGGAGGCAAGGCCTTTTTAATCAATTTGATTATAGAATTATAGTTTATATTATAATTGAAAGTTTTTATATTGGAGAAAAAGAAAAGATTATGTGACCCAAACAACAACAAAATAATCACTAAATTGCTATCATTACTTTTATTATGAAAATAAATATAAACATACAAAAACATTCTGAACTTCTCCAGAAATATACAATCTAAGAAGTCTTGACTAATCTGATGTGATAATTCCAATATGAAATGCTCAACAAAAATAAACCAAGCTTGACAATCCCACTATGAAAAGTTCTACAAAAATTATGCAGAAGCACAATTAAAAATTAGACACATTGTCACTGAAAACTCCTGAGATGATAGTACAGGTGGTCTCCCTGCTGGATATGATCAAAGCCACCTGCCTGCAAGATTAAAGTTTCTATAAATCCAAGGCGACAAAAGCACCAATACATTTCTAGCGTTTGAATGCAAACTCAATTTGCATCCTATAACCACAGACAAACTCGCCACCTTCTTTGGGAGGCCGCTCAAGACCATATCCAACCGGATGAAAGCTTGCAACCTTTGCCACGCCATCCTTATCGGTGAAGTTAAAAACAAACGGGCCTTCTGCTGGAGCCGAGCTTTCCTCCTCCACATTTTCCATTCCCCACAAAGGGTACGGAACACTAAAGCTCCTTGTTTCTTTGCTGTAGTCGTAATGGTCTAGAAACACGTCCAAGCCTTGTAAGAGCCTGGCAACTTTAAGCACCCGACTTTCATCGCCAAATCCCATCATGTCTATTGCTGGTGCTACCTGTAAGCTTACCATGTCGGTGAACGGCTCCACCTCCACGCGATTTGTGGCTTGATCCCACACATAACCTTGCAAAGCACAGCACTTGTAAATTCAGGTTCCCATGAGTGAAAGATTGGCTTACCACTTATCTGTAGATAAGTACCACAAAGAACGAGGAAGAGTCCATACAGCGACCTGCCGCCTCTCAAGATATCAACATGTTCCTGGACGAACTCCAGCGCCTTGGAGAAGCAAACACTAGGGAGGCGATCAATTTCCACCATCAAAGGGATCATGTTGCGTTCCATGACCAAGCCATGGCCCTCGGCGCTGAATACGCTGTTGGATCGGAAACACTTGGAGAGCACCCGGTGCACTTCGTCCTCGTGGTCGTCGCCGTCGTCGTCAAAGCCGCACCTGAGCTCAAACGCCGCTCTCACCGCTATCTCGCTCGGCACCTCATTCACGCCTCTCCAAAACAGATCGAAGCCACGGTGGCGTAGCGCAACTGGAAGCCTCGCCATTTGTGAACTCTAGCTAGGGTTATGGAGACGCAGCTGCGGGTTCCTAAGAGGCGCAGGACTGGAGGTGACGAGCGATATGTCAGGTATTTCCTGCAGGGACTGACGAGAAGTGGGGCGATACAGTATGCCAAGGATACCTTCTTGAAGCTTCAGCAAAATCCATCCGCATCGTGCAGCCGGCGGAAGTGGGCTCAGTTTACCAACCCTCAGTGCTACTGTTACTGGGGTCCCGAGGAGGCCAGTCCCGAGATCCCCGTCAAGCTACGCCATCCCAGTTTTGCGCAGCTGCGAGAAGCTATGGAGATTACGCCAGACGAGGAGGACATCTCCATGGAAAGCTTTTTGTGGTCTCAAGTTTCAGCGGGCTTTGAGAACGACGACGACATGAAGGAGAAGCTAGTGCACAGGCTGGATCGGTATCTAGGCGAACGCATTCACAGGGAGATCCGGCTAGAAAATTGCCCTTGCGATGGGATCATCATAAGGAGGAAGGAGCCAAGGATTCTCTTCGAGTTCAAGAGCGAACTGGGAGCTGGAGATCCCTGCTTCGAGGTGCTCGGCTACATTCGAAACTGGGTCTCCCAAGAAACCAAGGCTGGAAGAAAAGCCTCCTTCTACGGTCTGTGCGTTTCCGTAGTTTGCCCATACATCCAGGTGGCAGGCTACGTTTATGACTCCGCGAGCGACACCATCGAGATGGAGCCATTGACAGACATTGTATGCGTTTATGGCCCACGACAGAACAGGGGAAGGGTGGCAAAACTCTTGCATGGGATCAAGGAATTCCTCCGCTTGGATCTGGCGACAGGAGGACCAGTGAATCTACCGTATCTGTTGTGGAATTACAAGAATGTCCAAGTGGTGGATGCGGAGAGTCTGGTCTTCAAGTTTGAAGACCATCATGGGTGCAGGAAGATTGCAAAGTTTGTTGTGTATAACTCTTATGGCGTAGAGGCACACCATGCCTGGGCAGCTAATGGCATGGCACCTGCTCTTATAGAGCTGAAAGCTGCCACGCCACCTTTCTATATGGCTGTTATGGACTGCCTGGCTGAAGAGGATGGGTGGAGGTCATGTGTGGATCTGGTGCGTGATTGGAAACTTAATAATTCTATGGACAAGGTGGCAAAGCTCCAAGACATCGTGAAACATAGAGTTCAGAAATGCCATGATGACGGATTCGTGCATGGTGATTTACGATTAACTAATTTGATGTGCAAGGAAGAAGCTAATGGGAATTTGGAAGTGAAAGCATTGGATTTTGATTGGTCTGGTGAAAAGGGAAAAGCTATGTATCCGACAATATTGAACGACAAGATTAAGTGGCACCCTGATGTCAAGTATCGTGCACTGATTCGTGCTGAGCATGACTTGTGGTTTGTGGATCGCCTTGTGGAACAGCTTGATGAGCTCTTTATCTCGGACATGTAAAGTTTTAGGGTTCTTAATAACAGAGCCCAGATTTTTAGGGCTCTTGGATGCCCACAGTGAATGGGAAGTTCACATTCATCAGCGTTGCCTGTGCAATCGCGAGCATTCCATCGATTTCCCAGGCCCAGATCTTGCTTGGGATCATCCGGGATCCAAATTACCCAAGGACAGTCCCCACATGTTTGCCAAGTGTGGGGATTTGGAAGCCACAAGGATGGTCTTTGTGAGAGACATTGTCGCCTGGAATTCTATACTTACAGCGTATGTGCAGGCGGGGTGAGTGGATCAATCATTGGAGCTCTTTTACACCAGGATCTCGCAAGGGATTTTTCCCGTGCTCATCTCCTTCGTGAGGATTCTCTCGTGTTGCTCCTTCCCCAGTTCTCCATCAGCGGTGCCAAGCTCTATGTCTGGGTTGGCAACTCTGAAACACAATGCCCGGGATTTTGCGCCTAGCCACAGCTTGGCCCCCAGGAGTTTCTCGAACAGGATGGGATGATCACCACCTTTCTGGAGCTGCCACCAATCCGTTTGGAACTACATACTACCGACAAGCAGACAAGCGGTAGCCACCAGTGATTGAATCAAGCCAAAATTCCTAGAATCAAGCAATTTTTAAAATGATGGTATAGTGAAAAGGTGGCCGCTTTTTAGGTCATGCAAAAAAAAATAAAAATTCACTGATCACGATTCCATCTAGAGAAATTCAAGTCATTCTTCCTGAAATTTTGCCAAGAATTCCCCTGTCTGGGTTGGCAATGATTGTTCTAAAAAGGCTTTTTAATACAATAGTAATTACTGTGCACTTTTTAAGTCATTAAACCTTTACTAGACTCCTTTGTATCCAAAAATAAATCAGCTGATATAAAATAAATTCTAACAATCAAGTTCTTCTAGATATGATAGGATCTTCTAAGCTTTACTGTTGAGAACTTATAGAAATTTTATAATTTATTCAGTTGCAACTGCCCATATCATAAAAATCAAGTAATCATCTCATTTCTAGTTTTCCTAAAACATTATCCACATTTCTACTTGATAAATAACTTAATGGATTTTATATCTTGTTTCTTCATATAAATAATACCTGTTTTACTAAAGCATTATAAAATCACAAAACTTAAATTTTCTAACATTTGGTTAAGAATTAAGAGCTGAATGAGGAGTGGTGCTGAATTAATTCAAACACAAAGTGAAGACCTTAATTTGTAAGTTTTTTAAAAAGTAATTATTTTGATATATAGAACTGGTCGGTTTTCTTTGTGCTTTGATATTTTTTATGTAATTATTTTTTAAAGGCTATCCTATGTCCTATCCAATTTTTTGGAGTTATGAAATTAGGTAATTTTTTAATATGCTCTAATTTGAAAGAATACCAAGTATATTTTAAGATATTTTTTAAAATCATTTGTTACCAATGTTTAATACTTATTACTGATACAACTCATGAGGATCTAAGAAAGCAATCAAAGTTTTATATTTAACAGATTAAATAGAAAGATGGATAAGTTTTCTAGATAAGTAACTTCTCTGCACAGCAACATGGAAATTACTAAGAACTTTGAAGAATTAAAAAAACCTTTATCATTCCTCCTATATAAGTGACACTTTGGCTTCATGAGTAAAACTATGGTTGAATATATGTGAATTTGTTGCTCTTGGATGAGTTGCTAATCCTAGCTGTTTGGCATTGGTTTGATGAAAAGCTCTTATCCCACTCCTTAATTTTAGATTTCTAGGGTATATTCCTCTGTCCAATCTTAAAAATAGCTCCTTCTTAGTGGAAATTCTAATGAAAACAATCTTAAAACTTACTAAGTTACTAAAGACTTACAATAATGCTCCCCTTCCATAGGGATTTGCCTTGCAGTCACTCAGCTGAGTATTGTGAACCTATCTCCAATTTGCATGAGTAATTAATTAGTAATATATGGCCTAACTTCTGGTTTGGATATAAAAGATCTAAAGGAGGAGATACATCTTCATCACCACTTTAGCTGGTTGCCCATATGTTCAATGTAGCATACATGATTTTTACCTTTTACCTATAGCAAACCTAAGGGAGGTTTATTTTTATCCATGGTAAATAGAATAACTCATGGTAACTAACAATAGGAATCCTACCAATTCAAAGTGTAACCTTAAGTTGTTAATTTTCCTTATACACAAGCTTAAGCACAAACACAAATGGTATATCTCAATCCATTCTATGAACCCAAGCACAAGCTCACACAATATAGTACATAAATGTAACCAAAATCCAGGGACATATGCAAAGCCATAACAATGAAATATGTACCCACTTGGACTATTGTTTACATCTCTGTGTATGCAACAAGATTAGTTGCTCAATCTCATTGTATAGTACTTGCTGAGAACCTCCTTTTAATGCCAAATATAATGCATATGGTTTTCACTTTTTACCTTATGGTGTTTTATTATAGAATAACCATGAAACAGAACTTTAACCTTTGAATACGTGGCCAAGGACAGCAAAGTAAAACCCAAGTTTAGAGCCTTAAGCCATTGAACAAAGAAACAAAACCAAACTCTTAAACATATAGCCAAAAAGTGTAGAAAATTAGAGCATGGAACAACTCTCGAGCGTATAACCCAAGGAGTGAAGGGATAGGCATATGGAGCGAATTTTGAGCATAACCTTGAGTAACATGCAATCGAGGTTGCACCTTTGTCATCTTTAAGCAAAGGGACGGCTCTAATAGGACAGGTCAATGCAATCATGATTATTGAGGAGAAATTCGCAAAGATAGCAGCCATATGAGCACAAAAGAAGGAAGCAGCCACTCAAGAAAAGATTGATGGCAATCACCAATCTAGCACAAAAGGTGGTATGCAAGCTCCCACCTTCCCAGATGTCCTCCATCTTTCTTTAGTAGCTCTTAAGTCCCTGAGATTGCACTTTAACAGTTGATGGAGGCATTTATCACCTTTTTGCTACGTGAGCTTTTGTGTACAATTCCTGACTTTGGGCAGGATTTAGAAGACTTTGTGAGGTCTATTGGAGCCATAGCCTCTCTCCCACAGAATGTGCACATCATTGACACAACCTCCTCGTCCAATCCAGACTTTAGTAATGGTTTTCCCATCATCAACACTCTTGTAGATTTTGGATTTGGGAGTAGTTTGATCTCTTTGGATGTAGCCACAAGAGCAAGTCTCTAGGTCTTTGGAAGTACAGCTCTGATCTGGAAGATGTTCACAAACCACACTATCATTTTTGCGGGCATTTGCCACAGTGTTTAAGTTTATGTCAATGGGGTGGAATCTCTTCTGGACTTTGTGGTGGTGGACAATCAGAAGTTCAGCTTCACACCTTTGAATGATTCCCTAATCCTTGGACAAGTTTGGCATGATCAGATTCGAGGCACCACAAATTGGTCACTCAGTATAATAGAGATTAGCGATGGTCATTAGACTTCTTGTCTCTACAATGCCTACACACACTCTCTATTATGAAAGCTTCAAGGGCAGCCTCTAGGACTATCTTGGAGCTAGTCAATATCCTCTAAGCCAGTATTCTCTCCCTCGACATGTTTTCCCCACTCATTGATTGTTGTCTTCCTTGAGTTGATCTAAGATCCATCATAGCTTGAGTTCAACATGTTCCAATGCAACACTATCATCATAGAATCTTCCCCAATCATCAAACAAGAACTCAATTTGATTAGTGTGATGGCCAACTTCAAGAGTTGCCAATCTTTTGAGTGGAGGCTCTTTTGATGACATCATTTCTCTTTGAGCATGGACTTTATGTGGAGGATCTCCCCTCAGTTGCAGCTTGGTCTCACAGCTTTCAGCATGGTACTCCAGCAAAATATGTGCATCCTATGATGTCCACCACCTTTGAAGCAAGAATGACAATTGCGAGCGAGAGCAGCCCAACCTCTTTATTTGAAGACCAGGTGGCAAGTGACCATGTGGTCAGTCTAGCCTCTTTATTTGAAGACTAAACTGCTCCTACTTTCACAGATTTCCAAGTACCATCACATGCACTATCTTTGTGCCACACTACTGAATTCCAGCTTTCCGACACAGATAAGCTTCACAACTGTGACATGGAGATCCTTGGCCTTGACGAGTAGTGTAGGGCCTTGTGAGACATAAAATCCCTAGGCCCCAAAGAGGAGCGGAAAGGGTGCCATATGGTAGTGGATGAGGCAGAAGCCAAATGAGTGTAACATATATGGACTAAAAGCTCTAACTCAAAAAGTCAAAAGTGAGAATAAAACTCCCAATGAAGTACTCAAGGAACGAGCATGAAACAAGCAATAAGTGAGTCTCTAAAAAGGGATACAAAAGGACCAACACAGGACCCGAGATGGAGTTTGAGATGGACCTAAGATGGAGTCCGAGATGGACCCGAGATGGAGTCCGAGATGGAGTCCAAGATGGACCCGAGATGGATCTGAGATGGAGTTTGAGATGGAGTTTGAGATGGAGTCCGAGATGGAACTGAGATCGAAACCGAAACCGAAACCGAGACTGAGACCGACTTCGAGACCGAGTTCAAGCCTGAGTCTAAGACCGAGACCGAGTCCAAGTCTAAGTCCAAATACTAATACAGGTTATTGGGTAAAAAAAAGCGATCGTCCCCCAAGGGGGGGGAGAGGTTCCAAAAGTATAGTAGGGAGAGTGTGGGGGTTAGACCCCAGTGGAGCCAATTTGGCCAGGAAAGGATAGTTTAGCCTAGGAAAGCTATACCCAAGTGTTGGGTGATGAGATAACCACTGGGAAGTCCAAGGCTAGAATGAATATGGACCGACAAGTGCGGTATCTTAGTGAAGTGTTCAAGAGCTGGCTCTAGTTCTCCCGGGAGATCGAATGGTCGATGCTCCTAGTCCAAGCGTGGGTGGCACTACCTACTTAGATACCTAGCGTGGCTCAATGAAACCTCGCTCTAAGCCCATAGCTAGAGCACCCAAAGGTGGAAGGTGGGAGAGTACCCATAAAGCTCGCATAAGGCCATGGTGTTCCGAAAT